ACGCCTGTTATCCCAGTTACTCGGGAGGCCGAGGCAAGAGAATCGCTTGAACCCAGGAGGCAAAAGGTTGCAATGATCTGAGATCACGCCATTGCGCTAGAGCCTGGGTGACAAGAGCGAAACTACATCTCAAAAAAAAAAAAAAAAAGTATGTCTTCTGGCCATGTTAGCAGAGTAGAAGAGTGTGAGTATTAACTTGAATCTAATACGTATGTACGATGTTCATATACATAGCCAAAATTTGGACATTTTTTAGAGAATCATGCTTTTTATGTGAGAAAACAAACAAACCAGGCCGGGTGCGGTGGCTCACACCTGTGATCCCAAGACTTGGGGAGGCCAAGGCGGGTGGATCACTTGAGGTCAGGAGTTCAAGACCAGCCTGGGCAACATGGAGAAACCCCGTCCTACTAAAAATACAAAAATCAGCTGGGCGTGGTGGCGACTACCTTTAATCCCAGCTACTCAGAAGGCTGAGGCAGGAGAATCGCTTGAACCAGGAAGGTGGAGGTTGCAGTGAGCCAAGATTGTGCCATGGCTCTGCAGCCTGGATAACAGCGTGAGACTCCATCTCAAAAAAAAAAAAAAAATGCTGTGGCTTTCAGTATCTAGAGGTGCTCCTATAATGGCTACATCAATTAATGTACCCACTTTAAACCTTGTAAACTTACTAGGATTCTGGTTGGTAAAGAACATTAAAAATGACAAGTTCATTATATAGGTGCTAATTTTAATTACTTTGACTACTGAACACACACCAGGTACTAACAAAGAATGGAATATTCACCTGGGGATTTAAATCTATGAAAAGGTGTTAAAACACATACATAAAACATAATAAAATGAGATCACAACAGTCTCTTTCTATCTGAGCTTACTTTCCCTAATTTGGGTTTGTCTGTTAGGTCCACTGAGCAGACTCAGTATCTTTGGACAAATAGGAATTCAATGAAAATGTATTCTTAAAAGTGAAAAAGGCGGATTTGCTAGGTAAGTTGCTGTTTCTCAAGGAGGTAGCCTGGGTGCTATAAAGCCAATCCAATCCAATACAAATACAATATAATACAATCAATACAATAAAATTAATATCTCAAGGAAAAAGTTTAGAAAATTATTTCATGGCAAAATGACTTCGAAGTTTTTACTGTGCATCTTCCTGGTTTTAGAGTAGGCACTTGTTTTTATTTTCACGATTGCTCTATTTTTAGCCATAACCACTAGTATTGCAGCAAATATTTCTTGAGTATTGTCCTATGTACTTTAAAATGAAAACTATCTGCTTTTAGAGAGCATACCCCTAATTGACAAAATATATCATTGCTACATTAAAAGACAGTTGTTTGTTGCCTATTATTTCATTTTGATATTGGCATTGTAAAATGCAAGGTTGAAGGATTTGAAAGGCCAGGAAAGCAAAGGCAATCAACAGCAGAACACATTTTGCTGGTACCTAATAAAGAACAGTTGGAGGGATGGAGCTGTAATAAATTATCAGCAAAATACCATTCTTTTTCTTAGGTCCAAATGTGTGAGAAGCTAGCCACAAAATGCAGTCATAAATGAGATCTATCTGTTCTCCAGGCTACCTAGATTTAAAAAAAACAAAAAATACCAAGGTATTCGTTATTATTTTTTTGCTTTATAGACTACATTTAATCTCCTAGGGAGCAACATATGGTTCTTATATGGTTTATATAAATATATTGGACATTGATGCTCAATAAAAATAAAACTGGTTGTCATCTTCAGAACCCAAGAGCTATTAGGGCATGTGTGGTAAACATCCCCAGTTTATAATTGTGTAAAATTAAAATTGGCCGGGCCAGTGGCTCACGCCTGTAATCCCAGTACTTTGGGAGGCCCAGGCGGGCGGATCACGAGGTCAGGAGATTGAAACCCCATCTCTAATAAAAATACAAAAAATTAGCCGGGCATGGTGGCGGGCGCCTGTAGTCCCAGCTACTTTGGAGGCTGAGGCAGGAGAATGGCGTGAACCTGGGAGGCGCAGCTTGCAGTGAGCCGAGATCATGCCACTGCACTCCAGCCTGGGCAATAGAGCCAGACTCTGTCTCAAAAAAAAAAAAAAAAAATTAAAATTATGGGTGTGAGTCACTTTCTGAAGGGCATAGATAGGCTGAGGTCCTAGACCACATTATTTTCTTCTTACTCCTCACTTTATCTTTCCCTCTCCCTTCTCTGCCCTCAAAAATTGATAGTTGCAAGGAAAATGATAGTTGATTAGAAGACCTTTTGTTGTTTCATTATAATAACCGCATTGTTTTATGTGGTAAGACAATCTATGGCCACAGAATCTTATTTAGATTACCATAGTGGCCTAAATCTCAGGATCTGTGGATTGGGTTTTCTTTTTCATGAGCTGACACTGGGAAGTTCTGTTGTATCTATCAAAAATAAACACACCTGGCCAGGCACGATGGCTCATGCCTATAATCCCAGCACTTCGGGAGACCAAGGCGGGTGGATCACTTGAGGTCAGGAGTTCAAGACCAGCCTGGCCAACATGGTGAAACCTCATCTCTACTAAAAATACAAAAATTAGCCTGGCGAAGGGGTGCGTGCCTGTAATCCCAGCTACTCAGGAGGCTGAGGCAGGAGAATCGCTTGAACCCAGAAGGCGGAGGTTGCAGTGAGTGAAGACTGCCACTGCACTCCAGCCTGGGAGACAGAACAAGACTCCATCTCAAAAAAAAAAAAAAAAGACAGAATATTAAACGTTCTCATAGGCCAGGATCATGACGCCGGTAATCCCAGCACTTTGGGAGGCTATGATGGGAGGATCACTTGAAGCCAGGAATTTTGAGAGCAGCCTGGGCAACCCCAACCCCATCTCTTTTTTTTAAAGATTTAAACTAAATTAAACCTTAATTTAGCCATAGTTTTATTAAATTACACTGGGTACTTGATGACTGTCATCTTTCTTATTGGTTCTTCTTCCCCTTAGCATGGTAGATGAGGATGCCTGATGTGGCCCCTGCCTGTGTCTCCAGCTCTCTGCCCATGCTGTTCCTTTTTCTGTGTTCAGCCTTCTTTCAATTCCATAACGTGCTTGGTACCCTCCCAACTTAGGACTTTTGCTGAGGGAGTCATCCATCTAAAATGTTCTCTGCCATTTGCCCTCCAACCCCCAGACACCTAAGACTTTGTAACTCCTCATCCCACTAATCAGCTGTAGCTCAAAAACATCTGTGGGGAAAACTTGACTCCTTACTAGGTCAGTTCTTGATTTGACACCCTTGACAACCTATACTTTTTCTTCATAACTTAGCATTTTACAGTATAAACATATACTGTAATGTTTATACTGTATATAATGTACATATGGAGGAAACATAATGTGTTTCCTCCACTAGATTGCAAGCTCTGAGGTGTCAGGAAATTTGTGCTGTGCTTCTTTTTTTTTTTTTTTTTTTTTGAGACAGAGTCTGGCTCTGTCGCCCAGGCTGGAGTGCAGTGGCCGGATCTCAGCTCACTGCAAGCTCCGCCTCCCGAGTTCATGCCATTCTCCTGCCTCAGCCTCCCGAGTAGCTGGGACTACAGGCGCCCGCCACCTCGCCCAGCTAGTTTTTTTGTAGTTTTTAGTAGAGACGGGGTTTCACCGTGTTAGCCAGGATGGTCTCGATCTTCTGACCTCGTGATCCACCCGTCTCAGCCTCCCAAAGTGCTGGGATTACAGGCTTGAGCCACCGCGCCCGGCCTGTGCTGTGCTTCTTAAATCCCTAGCATAGGGTAGGCTGAAAGATGAATTAATCCCAAAGCAAAACTTTTATTGCCTCGTAATTATTATGTGTATAAACTATAATACAACATACAATTCAGTCTATTTTTTTGTAGACAGGGTCTCACTATGCTTCCCAGGATGGTCTTGAACTCTTGGGCCCAAGCGATCCTCCCACCTGAGCCTCCAAAAGTGCTAGGATTACAGGCGTTGAGTCACCATGCCAGCCTTCCGTCTATTCTTTGGAGCATTTGTCTGACTTCATAGTATATAAGTATCTTATTTATTTTATTTTTAAAACTTTTCTTTTTTTTATCCACCCATCTGCACACTGGAGTATTTGATTTTAAACACTTGCTTCTTAGTCCTAGGTTTTATTCAAATTTAAATTGAGCAATAAAGAAGCATTGACAATCCACAGTTCACACTGAAATGTCAACATAAACATTTCATTTTATATTTATTGTAAAAGCAATATAGAATAAAAATACAGACTAGCATAAAGTTACATTAAGGTGGAAAGTAAAAATCTCCCCCCCAACAGTCTTTCAATGTCACAACTATAAAGTTTCTTTAAAATACTACTTAATACATTCTAACAAGTCACAAGGCTTTGTTTCTTCTTATTTAATACATTCTAACAAGTCACAAGGCTTTGTTTCTTCTTGGTTGAGATACATTAAAATATTAAGCATTGGCCCAGTGTGGTGGCTTACACCTGTAATCCCAGCACTTTGGGAAGCCAAGGTGGGCGTATCACTTGAGTTCAGGAGTTTGAGACCAGCCTGGCCAACATGGCAAAACCCCATCTCTACTAAAAATACAAAAATTAGCTGGGCGTGGTGGTGCACGCCTACAGTCCCAGCTACTCAGCAGGCTGAGGCAGGAGAATTGCTTGAACCAGGGAGGTGGAGGTTGCAGTGAGCTGAGATGGCACCACTATGGCACCACTACAATCCAGCCTGGGCAACAGAGCAAGACTGTGTCTCAAAAAAATAAAAATAAAAATAAGCATCCCTACTGTTTAGAGGACTGAAACTCTATTTTGTAATAAAATATGGTTAACACTGTTGCGAAAAGCATGTTTGTTTGTTTGTTTGTTTTGAGACGGAGTCTCGCTTTGTCACCCAGGCTGGAGTGCAGTGGCGCGATCTCAGCTCACTGCAAGCTCTGCCTCCTGGGTTCACGCCATTCTCCTGCCTCAGCCTCCTGAGTAGCTGGGACTACAGGTGCCTGCCACCACACCTGGCTAATCTTTTGTATTTTTTAAGTAAAGACAGGGTTTCACCGTGTTAGCCAGGATGGTCTCGGTCTCCTGACCTGGTGATCCGCCTGCCTTGGCCTCCCAAAGTGCTGGGATTACAGGTGTGAGCCACCGCACCCGGCCAAAAAGCACAATTTCTTTACAATTAATATTCCTCATTAAATATTGCCCAAGTACTTATATATCCTACCCCTGCTGATCACCAAAATTGTATAGTCTTATCTTGCAAATATAGTACATATACAATTAAACAGTTGGAAAACATATAGAGATTGACCACAAATAAGGCCCACAAGGTACTGCTGTGTAATGTATCTACCATTAGGTTGATCAGGCCAGTTGTTATATTTGACAGCAAGAAAAATATTAACTGTTTTCTGTTGAGAGCTGTGATTAAACAAAGCCTGGGTTCCATTCTTTCAGCTTCAGGGATTAGATATTCTGAATGCTTTTTACTTGTAACAGGTGACTGGATAAGTTTCCAAGAACATGGTACCAGAGCTCCTTTAATTAGAAATTTGGCAAAACTCAAAATTATATCACCCAGTAATAAACTACTAAGAAGGATCAGGCTAGAAGCAACTATCCAAATACAAAAGGCTAAATTTGCCATTCTTCGAGATACTGCTTCTACATTTACTTGAACTACATAAAGAGATATGAAGAGGCTAATAGCTGCCAGTAAAAGAAAACAGGCTACTTTTATCAAGTCTTTGATATGTGATCGGTTCTTATGCACATATAATCCTGTTTGCACACCAGCCATGTGTATTGCCACATACCCCAGGGTAGAGATTATTCCTTCGCGGTTGGCATTTAATAGACCAATCCGTGTGCCACTACCATCAGTGCCATACAATATTAACCTCTTCAGTGAGGTAAAGTCAAGGGCTAGCTGGTATAATACAGTAACACTGAGGGCAATAATCCAGGACTTATTTAGGGGAAAAATAATGAAAAGCAGTGGTGTTATCAATTTCACAACTATTATGGTAAAGAAAAAGTTCCAGTGAACTCCATACTCAGTTAAATGTTCCTGATAACCTATTGATTTTATAATGGCTAATCGTCCAATTCCTAGGAAGACTAATGGCCAAACAGAGTACAATGAGTTTGTAAAGTAATGCAATTTGGACCCTTCCATACATTTTCTCCTCCTGACCTCTAGACAAACCATTGCAGTCCCAAAAACAAAGCCACCTACTCCAAAATCCATTGCTCCTGTCCCATAGAGCTCAGTTTTGGCAAATCTTCTGGGAAAAAATGGGAAGTCCACAGCCAAAATAGCAATAGCAGTGAATGCACCGGTAATTACACGGAAACAGGAGATGGCTGGAATGTATTCTGATTCTAGACTGATGTTCAAGAATTTTTCAAGGATTTTTTGGAAAGGCAGTCTGGCATAGCAGGTCCTCCTTCGGTATATTTGATAGAACAGCCCTGCCCCAAAGATAATTACAGCAAGAAGCTCAAGGAGGATAAATGAAGCCCAAATGGTCAAAGTGGCTACCATGGGAACTATTAGGACAACAAAGTCAATGAAGAATCTAGTTTTCCAGGTATGTGAGAAAGAACACAAGTACTGTGAGAAAATGATCAGGAACCCTCTGCACAGGATACAGAATGCAGGAAAGCACAATCCCTGGGTGATTTCCAGCACGGTGGTTCCATTGAGGTTACTAACAAAAGCTTCCTTCATCTGCTTTTGAGACATTTTTCTTCCTGTGAAAACAACAGCAAAGGAATGGATTTGTGAAAAGCAACATTCTTGTGTAATTAGCATACCTGGCTTAATTTTACTAGATTTCAGAGAATTTTGGACCCTAATGAGTTCACCTAGGATTTGTGATTCCCCTTCCAAGGATTGTGGGAAGAAGCTTAACACTAATGCATTTGGATAGAAATGTCATACTAATAGTATGAAATTATTGGTTACAAAGCTTCAGCTATTCCCTGTACAAGACAGATTCACAAAGAAAGTGAATTTGGGGCCGGGCGCAGTGGCTCACACCTGCAATCCTAGCACTTTGGGAGGCCGAGGTGGGGGGATCACCTGAGGTCAGGAGTTCGAGACTAGCCTGGTCAACATGGCAAAACCCCGTCTCCACTAAAAATACAAAAATTAGCCAGGCATGATGGCACCCGCCTGTAATCCCAGCTACTTGGGAGGCTGAGGCAGGAGAATCACTTGAACCGGGGAGGTGGAGGTTGGAGTGAGCCGAGATCGTGCCATTGCACTCCAGCCTAGGCCACAGAGTGAGACTCTGTCTCAAAAAAAAAAAAAAAAAAAAAAAAGGAAAAGAAAAGAAAGCGAATTTGGGATATAAACTCTGAGAATGGCATCATAGACAGATGGGAATTTCTATTATGGAGCACAGTACATACCATGAAGATTCTTTGATGAAAATTGAATAGGCTTTACTAATGACTTTAATGCAAATTCAAAGGCTAGGGGCGAAGTACATTTTGAAGTTGGGGGCATTGGTTCCAGTTAAGAGCCTCTCTAAACCTACTGCCTCGGTACAAAACGTGACCCCTGCAGTGATTTCTGGATCTCCAGGCTGCTCCTTCCCTCATTTACAGACAGCTACGTTTTCAGGTTAGGATGGAAGTAGGTAAATTAAGAATGGATGTATAGCACATACTAGTGTTAGCTGCTCTTTTATTAAGGGCTGCAAAACACCTCTGAATGCCACACATAATTGTCTGAAAAACGGCATACTGGAAGAACACGTTTGTTGGTCAAACATGAACCTAGAGCTTCTCAGTGTAACATGAAGTGAATAAGTAAGTGAATGCATGCATGCATTATGGCCTGTCTGCAACCTGCGACAATACCTCACAGTTGACCATTAAAAATAATGGTCAAATCAGTGGATCATTAAAAATAAAAAGTCCTAGCCGAGAGCAGTGGCTTATGCCTGTAATCCTAGCGCTTTGGGAGGAGAGAGGATCGCTTGAGGCCAGGAGTGAAAAAAAAGAAAAATTAAAAATTAGCTGAACGTGGTGGTGCGCGCCTGTAATCCCAGCCACTCGCCAGGCTGAGGGGGGAAGATCGCTTGAGCTGAGGTTGAAGGCTGCAGTGAGCCGAGATCGCGCCACTGCACTCCTACCTGGGCGACAGAGGGAGACTCCGTCTCTTAAAAAATAAACATAAAAAGTCTTTTTCCTGACGCCCGACCTGGCCGCGCCCTGCCCGTATACCTCACGTGCTCCAACTGGTGCCGGCGCCCCCAGCAGAGGGTCTACGTGGGCACAGCCGCCGGACTCCCGCGGCACCCGCCAAACCACGCGGACACCAGCCGCTTCCGCCTCCCGCGCAGCGCTTCCGCCGACGGGGGCAACTTGCACTTCCGGGCCAGCAGGTTCCGCGCGTCTCCGCCCATGATGGCGCTCGTCCCAGTGTCCCGTGGGCTACCCACTCCTGTCCTTATGTCCTTTGGGCTGGTGCAAGCCAGATCTTCTAGGGCTGTAGCCCTGAGAGGAACGCCTGCAGAGGAAACGGCGCGCCATGCACCTCACGCGACCCCTCAGACCTCACGGCGAGGCCCTATCGGGGTAATGGGGTCCGCGGGACCCGCAGACTCTGCCGCGGCGACCTCTACTGAAAGACCCCCAGCCCTGGGGGCGCCCGAAGGCCCAGGAAACTGTGCTTCCGCGCTTCTCCCCCAGAACGTGGGAAGCTGCCGCTTTACCCTCATTTTACCCCTGGGTCGCAAAACATCTCACCGTCGATGGAACCCGCAAGCCGGACCCGGAATCCCGGCCAAGCCCCGCGCGGCGAGTGCGCGCCCCGCCCCTGGGGAGGAGCCGGCCGACCCCCGGCCACTTAGCTAGAGCCGCAGCCGACGGGGTGCGGTGCGGCGGTCCCAGCTGCCTCTTCTCACTGCTTGCTCCTGCTCCTCCTCTTTTCTCCCCTCCCCGTGTTCTTCCCGCCGCCTGACCTAGCCCGCCCGCCTTTCCAGTCTGGCCGGGCGGGGGCCTTAAGCACGGCGGCTCGGGCCGTGGGACCGGTGAGTGTCACCCCGAGCCCAGATCTGAAGCCCTTCGCGACGCGGAAGGGGCTTGGGAGGCCAGTTTGCCCCGCAGCGCTGAGGCAGGAGGCATCTCCACCTCCCCTTCCAAAGCGCCCTGTCCCTTCTTTCTTCCCTTTTCCTTTTGACCGTCTTGTGCCTCACGAGGGGGTAGCCCAGCTCTTCGCTCTTGTTTGAAACAACCTCTCTTGATCACCCTCCACCTTGCCACCTGGCCGGCAGGGGGCGGCCTGGGTGGGGAGAGGGTACTTGCTCCACTCTTCGCCCAGCTCAGGACCCCGGGAGGGGGCGGCTGGTCCCGGGAGGCGTCAGGGCAGCTGCGCCCTTGGCTGGGGTCACATCCACCTTCCTGGGAAGGACATACTCTCCCCGTGCCAGGTGCTTCCGGAACGGCATCCCAGCCCTGGGTTTGGCGGCACGTCGCCCGGACCAGGAGTCCCCGGTTCCCCCGGGAAGCTGGGGGCGGAGCAAGCTAGTCTCACGAGACCGTTACCCAGATTTTCTCAGCGTCTGCCCACCCACTGTCCTCCACGCCTAAAAGAAACAGGCTGAGAAGGAGGAACTGGTGATCAGGTTGCCACTTGCCTTGATTCGGTGTTCCATTTACTCATTACCTTCTCCCTTCTGCCCACAGTGGTCACACCCTTTCCAGAAATTTTTGGCTGGTAACCGCGAAACCGACTGGAGCTGGGAGAACTGCAGAAAACTGCTCTAATCTCACTTGACTCCAGCTGGGAGCTGATGCTGCATCGTGATAACATTTGCAAAGCGCTCTCACAGGTATTAGCCCTTTTGATCCTTCATTTAGCCCTGTGAGATCTGGATATTATCACTCCGTTTTATAAACGAGGAAACAGAGTAAGGCTTAGACAGTTCTTGGGTTCTGTGCCAGGGGCCTTGGGCTTTGGATTCAAACCCCAAACCTGTTGTGCTGCGCCTCTGGACCTATTGCTTCAGATGAGTTCCCAGTTGAAAGAGCTTTGTTCTCTGGAGCCCTCTGCATGGCTGTCCCTTGGATGGGGTACAGTCCGTGTCCAGGGTCAGTGTGTCCAGCACAGTCCTGATGCCTGTTTCCACCTGAATTGTCCTTTTTCCAGCTTCTATGGAAGTCCCTATCCCTGGGTTTTTTAAAGATTTGATGTATTCAGAGCCTCAAGAAAGTCTCCACCAGCGTTAATCCATTGCAGGCACCCCTCACCCTCAGCCTCATCTCTCCTTGCTAGGGGTTTCGCCAAGGCCTAGAAAATTCCAAGTCTGAGGGTCCCTTAACCATTCTTCAAAGATTGGCTTAGGCCCAGCCTCACAACACCCCACCTCCCAGATGGGTTGTGCTCCCTGAAATCCTTACTTTCTCGAGGTTGACACTGGACTGTTCACCTGATTAGTGCTCCCAAATGGATCATCAACCCTTAGTCGTAGTGCTAACAGTGTTTATCTTCTGAGTGAATACTCAGATTTGTACTTTGTGTGGTGTTGTCAAACCATGACCTCATTGGCCTTCACAGCCACTCCTATGAGGCAGATTTAACTGTCCCCATTTTCAAGGTAAGAAATGAAGGCAGGTGATGTGGCTGACCCAGGATCACACACCCAGTGAGTGGTTGAACTGTGATTTCCCTACCACACCACACCTTTCCTGGAGCAGCAAGAGATGACTCCAGCCTCCCCTCCCCACCAACGACTGGCTACACAGAACTAGGATATTTCTGTCTAGTGTAGAAGATAGGGCACAAGGCTTCTCTGTTTCCCCAGTGTCTTATTCCTCCACGGCATGCTGACCCAGAGGATTTGCAGCCCCACCCCAACCCAAACCCTAACCCTGTAATAAAACTGGCCCAGGGAGCCTCTGAGGCTCTCATAAAAGTTTCCCCTGTTTCCTAATTGGCAAGGGAAAGGACAGGCTCACTCTCTGCCCGGGCCTGCCTTGCATCTCATTTTGGTTGCTCCTACTAGGTGGGAAGAATAGGAGTGAGTGAGTCACCCCAGAAAAGCCCTCACCTGTGTATGGTCCTTGTCTTCTCTCATGCCGCAGGCTCTGGAGTGACTCGTGTGAGATTCCTCCAGAACTGAGCCCTTCGTTGGAACCATACCCCAGCCCATGGTCCCATGACTCGGTGGATAGTACTCCTTGTACCTCCTGCAACCCAGAACCCTGGCTGACCACTTCGAAGGAGGATGCTCCAGCAGGTAAAACCTGAACCTTAGATAACCCAGGCCCTCAAGCACCCGCAGCATCTTTTGCTAGCCCTAACCTGGAAGGAAGGGAAAGCCCCCTTAAAGGTCTTTCTTTTCTCTCCTCAAATTGTCTCTCCAGTGCCTTTTACTCATCATCAAGAAACTCTTGCTGATACCTAATTTGAATCTGTCTTGTGGTTTTTAGCTCCTTTCTTTGGGATAGGTAAGGTGGGATGGGTAAGGGAATCCTTAGGGCACTTTGGGGATTCTACAGAGGAAGTCCTAAGAGATGTCCCTGCCACCCTGAATTGTTGAGGCGTAGTAGAAGCTTGGGGCTTCCAAGAGGATGTGTTCCTTGAAGCTGAGCCTTAAAGAACAAGAAAGAATTAGCCACGTGGAGAAGGAAAATAAGCACTCCAGGCAAAGAGGTCAGCCTGTGCAGAAATGCGGGAGACTATCTATGAGGAACTATAGAAGGATTCTGATGAGTGGATCATGGGTGCATGATCCCCATGTCTCTGCCTCTCAGAAAAGGCTACTGTTGCCCCAGGCCTGTAGGATTCCAAATCACCCTTTACAGTGGAGCTCTATCTCATACCCATATCATCCTTCATGTGTAGCTCCTGGTCCCGAGAGAGTGCCCGTACATATTTGCTGAATTTTTATTTTACCAAGTGTTGCCAGGCACTGGGCTGAGGCAGATGTTGAGGGTGGTGCTTGCCCTCAAGGAGCTCAGAGTCTAGTGGAGTTTGGTAGGTAAGTGTCTGAACTCAGCAAGATAGCAGCTAGGTGTGGGGCTTGCCAGCCTCAAGGGAGCTATAGTAGACACTGCCACTTGACCTTCCAGTCATATGGCTCCTGGAACAGGTTTGAAGGTAAGAAGCGGGCAAAACAGTTGACTGCTCTGGGCATTTTTATTGCTTATTTTTAACTTTTTTTTTCTCTTATTAAAAAAGCAGTAATGTTCACCATAACCATACTAGCTGCTTCACTGTGTTGAGTCCTTATTATGTAATAGGCATTATGCTAAGCATTTATATGTGTGATTTTGTATAATTCTCACAACCTCTCCATGAGAAAGATACAGTACTATATATACGTATATAGTGCTGTTATTTCCACATTTTGGAGATAAGGCTCCAAGAGGTTAAGTGGCTTATTCAGGGTCACATTGATTATCAGAAATTTGGAAAATATGCCCGGCCACCACACCCAGCCTAAAAGTGGCTCTTCTAATTAGGCAATAATACGTGAAGGGCCTTAAAACTATGCATGCATAGTTTAAGACTTACACTTAAGCCTGCAATCCTGCTTCTCAAAAATGATCTGCATAAAGGACATAAGAACATCAGTGAATATAAAGCCATTTATAATTGTAAAAGAATTGAAAAAAAAAACACAATGTCTAAACAGTAGACTGCTTAAAGTATATCAGTACAATGGAATAAAGCAAGTTACACAAAAATATAATACTTTTCAATGTTTTTAAAATATGTATTTAGGGAAGAAAACGTATGATGTTCTCTAAAATATTGGTTATTTCTGGGTAGTATGATTATGGATTTTTATGCTCCTTTTGCTTTTCTCTATTTTCCTTTTTTTTTTTTTTTTTTTTTGAAATGGAATCTCGCTCTGTCCCCAGGCTGGAGTGTAGTGGCGTAATCTCGGCTCACTGCGAGGTCCACCTCCCAGGTTCATGCCATGCCATTCTCCTGCCTCAGCCTCCCGAGTAGCTGGGACTACAGGCGCCAGCCACCTCACCTGCTAATTTTTTGTATTTTTTAGTAGAGACACGGTTTCACCATATTAGCCAGGATGGTCTCGATCTCCTGACCTCGTGATCCGCCCACCTCGGCCTCCCAAAGTGCTGGGATTACAGGCATGAGCCACCGCACCTGGCCTCCAATTTTTTTTAACAATTTTTTATTTTTATTTTTTTAATTTTAGAGATGGGATCTCACTCTGTTGACAAGGCTGGTCTCAAACTCCTGACCTCAGGTGATCTGCCTGATTCAGCCTCCCAAAGTGCTTTTACAGGAGTGAGCCACCGCATCCAGTCGTGAGACCGTGTCTCTTAAATAAATAAATAAATAATAAGGCCGGGCACGGTGGCTCATGCCTGTAATCCCAATAC